TATACACTGTTGGACATAATTCACGAGCACACCCTATATAATCTGAACGCGTGAAGATAAATCCATGATATTTGCGGAGCACAAAGGTTTACTGTAGACGAGTTTATTCATCGAGTTTCGAGTTGTTCCGTCGCGGCATTGTTGCTGAGTCGCTCTTCCAAGTGGAACATTCCGTCGCTATGGAGACCGAAGTGGATGGAAAATACCAGTCGTTTTTAGTGTGGTGTGAGGAACCACATTGTTATCGTACTCCGTGCGCAATGGATGGGCGATCGCGTTACTTAAGCGAGGAATGTTTGAGGGTATGCACATTGAGGGTGTATCGTTCCGTGAAATTGCGCATCGTCTCGACCGGTCGTTATCGGCAGTGCAACGGGTATGGCGAGAATGGTCTGAGGTAGGACGTAGGTACCTACAGCCGCGGACGGGAGGGCCCTGCGTGACTCCAGCACACGAGGATCGCGCTCTTGTGCTCAGCGCTTTACCGTTGTGTGAGTCCTCCTCAAGGCAACTTGGAGCTGTTTGGCCACCGGCAGGGGAAGGTGCACTCACTACGCGAACTGTACGGCGGCGTTTGGTAGATAGTGGACTGCGCGTGCGTCGTGCGAAACAGCGGATTCCAGTAACATCCGAGCACCGCAGCATACGTCACGAGTGGGTCAACGCNCAATAAAACTTTTACAACACTTTGCTGTTTTCTTACAGGTTTATTTTGTAATTGTCGTTACTTAACGACATTGTTCGCCCAACGACTTTTTGTAAAAACCGTATTTTGTAAGTCGGTCGTTAGGAATTTGAACTGTAACGACAAAAATAAATGTTTTCATATCGGATAGTGCACATTTGAATTAATGTTGGCCCGTTTGACCTGGTTTGAACTAAAACAAGCAAATAACATAACTACATAACCTCAATCAACCTAAAACCCGTGTACCTGTGTATAGTATTATAATTGGATAGCGCTTATCTAAAATGTACCAATCGCCAAATTATAGTTTTGAGCAAATGGTGATTAAAGTTTTATAATGCTGAAAAATAAGTTTGTGGATGAAACGGATCAGCCTTTACATTTTATAACATGGAATAGATTCCTACAGCATTCCAGTAAGTTTTTCACCGATTTAATTTTTTTTGACTTGATTTTTTTGACGAGAATGGCGCTTGGTTCTCTTTTGATTAAATAGAATTTTTTACATGGATCTACATACATCGTTTGTATGGCGTTTGGATCTTTATGCGTAATGCAAAAATATTGCATGGATCTGTTCTCACAATAAATACTACTTGATTTTTTATATTATAATAATAAAAAATGTATAGGAAAGTATTTTAATTTATTAATACAATAAATAATAACATAATAATTAACAAATTAATCATTTGTCTCAGGTATAAAATCAATGTTTTGACCAAATGCGTCTACATCGTCTTCAAAATCGGCACCATTTATGTTTCTATAAAAATACTTGACATCATTTGGTATCAGAGGCATCAAACTTTTAATGTCAGCCAGCTTTTTATTGGAAATTTCTTTTCCGTTGGGATACAATTGAAAAAGTTTTGATGCAAAATAAGGCTCTACACTGATTGGCCTGCCTTTGGTTAGTTTCCTTATGTTAATTTCTTTATAATCTTCATCATCTTTGTGGCTATACTTCATAAAAATTGAGAAAGGTGTTTCTTTACTAAATTTTATTACCCTAGCTTGAAGCCAATTAACGTGCTCTCTATTACTATCTATTTTTCGGTTGGTTATAAATTGCTCTATTCTTGAAGTTCCGACGAAGTTATCCTTTGTCATTTCAACCTCAACAAATTTACTCTTTGACGAACAAAGTTCAATGATATTTTTAAACTCATCTAGAATGTAAACACGTAATTGGTACTTTAGTTTGCTTTCA